GATTCTAGTTACTAAGATTTTTCTCAAGTGCTCACAAATGAGCACTTATTGTGGTTAAAACATTGTGTGCTGTGGTTAAAACATTTGCTGAAGAGGGGCACCTGGGTGGCCCAGTCGGTTAAGCATCAGCCTTTGGCTCAGGACATGATCCTGGGGTCCTGGGATTGAGCCCCGCATTGGGCTCCCTGCTCAGCAGAGAGCGTACTTCTCCCTCTCCCTCTGCTGCTTTGCCTGTTGTTCTCTCTCTCTCTCTGTCAAATAAATAAATAAAATCTTAAAAAACAATATTTGCTGAAGAGAAAAATTTTAATCACTATATATGGCCAGAGTCTTTTTAAGAATTAATTTGAGAATACATAATACAGGTCATCTTCTTGATATTTCCATCATTAAATTGAGAGACCTAATGGTGGACCTAGCATGCCAACTAAAGACCTAGTTAACACCTTTTCTCCTTTGGCTTCCAGGCATATATTTAAATATCACTGGTGCAGGCTCCTATCTGCTACAGACCCAGTTACTTTGTAGTTTTCAAATAATAGATGATAGCAATTCGTATTTGTTTTCTATGGTTTTCATTTCTTTTCAGACATGATTATAATTTAAAACCTAACTGCAAGCTATTTATTTATTTTTGGGATTCTAAGGTTCTATAAGATTTCTTCCCCACCTTTGCCATATTGAAGATCTAGGGATTTTTTTGTTTTAACTCAAAGTAATATCCCAGATGATGTTTCACTTTATGAAAGTACCTCTTGAATAAGAAATCACGTTTACCTTGTTTTAAGCCCTAGGATAAGAAAGGAGTATTTTCTCCATTATATTTAATTACTAATCAAACTATTGAATATCTTTGTAAAAATAAAATAGGAATGTCAGATGTGACCTGTGATACCAAATTGTTGATTTTTAAAAGGAAATTAATCATGTGATCCAGACTAAATAGTTGGTTTCAAAAATCCCAAGTATTTAACTTGATGTAACTAATATGTGCATTTAAATTTTAAACAGTTATTTCGAAGTATTAAAAATCTTCACCATTCTAATTTTCCGCCGGGTTTCTTTGTAATGCGCTGAGGGTGTCCATTACCCTTTAAAGTGAATAGTAAGAATAGTGTCCATTGTTCTAATGTGATTCTGTTTAATAGTGTAATCCCCAACAGATATTAGCCCTCATTAAAGGGAGCCTTGGAATCTTAAGGAGAATGATGAAGAACAATTCCATACAGTATTTTAATTTTTATTAGTTATATAATTTTGAAAGCATAGAAGCCCTGAAGGCAGACAGGCTTGCATTCCAACCCAGACTCCACCACTTTCTGGCTTTGTCAAATTATTTGTTCTTTCTTAGTCTTAATTTGTCTACATGTAAAATTGAGATGACACCAAGTACTTGGTTAAAGTGTTGAATAAAAATGCAAGGCTGTTAAAAAGAGGTTGAGTAAATGTTAGTTTTCTAATTTTCCATGAGTAAGGTTAGTTGTTCTGTGGAATGTTTTTAATGTGAAGTTTTTTGAGCCAGACTGACTCCCTTCTGGCCTAATGCGGAGAGAGGTGTGTGGGGAAGTAAGTGTGGTGTATCACAGGTTGACAATAGGCCGAAATTTGTTTTCAGTCACTTCCAACATGGCCGCGTATGGCCACGTATTGTTCTGCTTGATTATTTCCCTTGGCAAGAAGACACTCCGGGCTCGTTTGCATATCCTCCATGTAATCAGAAAGAGCCAAGTTTGCCTGTGTTTAAAGGATTCCGCTTCTTGAAGTTCATTCTCGTGCAGACCCACTGGGGGATTTGTCCCAGACCTCCCATTTATAATCACAGGCATTCCGTGAATAATCTGATACGGAATGAGTACAGGATAGACTCCTTTGTTTGCCAGACAGGTGAGAGCCCTACTTTCTCTTGTTGCTAAAAATCTGGGCCAGAAAAATGACTAGAGTTACGTGAGTACTAAATTAACCTCATTCCTTTGTAATCGTTACCCTCATAATGATTTCACTGAAAATCCAAGAATAACAAGAGGGATTCCCCCCTACCCCCGACCCGGCACACACTAGGGTACTGAGAGATTCGAAAGTGTTTTTATAATGTTAATAATCATAGCATCCAACAACTGTGTGGCAGTTTTCAATTTTCTTAAGTTTTGTCAGGAACATTATCTCTCACACGAACCAAATAAGATTAGTGGAGCAATTATTCCTCTTAAGTAAATGAGGACATGGGGGTCAGAGAGGTTGTTTCCTGCTTGAGGTTATTTAGAATTCCCTGCCCAAAAGTTTTTTTGTTTTTTTTTTTAATATTTATTTGTCAGAGAGAGCACAAGCAGGGGGAGCGGCAGGAAGAGGGAGAAGCAGACTCCCCGCTGAGCAGGGAACCCGATGTGGGGCTCGATCCCAGGACCCTGGGACCATGACCTGAGCCGAAGGCAGACGCTTAACCAACCGAGCCACCCAGGTGTCCCCCCTGCCCAAAAGTTTTATCTCTGAATCCTTTTCTACTCTAAGGGTAAGGGCTAAACATCAAGTGACTGAGTTGTAATAGGTACTAGAGTAGATCCCTCCTACGTTCCTTCATTTACTGTTTAAAACAACCCTATGAAATAGGTATTACTCTTCTTATTTTGCAGATGGGTTTGCTCAGAGAGGCTAAGTGCTTACTGAAGGTTGCACAGATAATGACAAAGGCAGTCTTCAGAGGTTTCTGACTCTAAGACACACCGTTCCTTTATTCTGCTATATCATCTCTAAAGTGTCTGCATAGATAGACGGACAGACAGATAGATCTTAGATAGACAGATGATCTCATCTGGATCGACTATATTCCTGATATAGAAGGTCAATCTATCTGCTAGGTGCTGTGGTAAGCACTTTTCATTTGATTTCTTTCTCTCTGTCCATCCACCCATAGACATGTGGACACAATTGTTACAAAAGGACCTGAGAACAGTTCCTAGGATGAGAACCACTAGAATGGCCTCCAGAGACGCCTGGGTTATGTGTTACCTGCCACTGTATAAAATGGGGAGTGCAAAAGTAGCACATCTGGCAAAGCTTCCGTGTCCTTCCCCACCGTTTAGACCTCCCTCGTCCTGCCTACATTTGAGAAACACAACAGGTCCTACCACAAGAGAAGGGGTGCCGAACAGCGCCATTCTCAAATTCCTGGCAGTGGAGTGGAGGGTCTAGGGCAGGAGATATGAAGCCAGACCAACAGGGGAGAAGTCCCAGCTTTAGAATTACTAGCTGCATATCCTGGAGCAGGTTACTTAACCACTCTGTCCCCTCAGGTTCATCACCTGTAAAAATGGGCATAAGGATGGCTCCTGCCTCACGTGGGGTCGGTTGCGAGGATAAAATGAATGAGTTAATGAAAAGCACTTCCAACAGTACCTGGCCCATATTAATAATAATAGCTAACATCATTTTGTTCTAGAAAACACTCAGTAAATATTAAAACCGTTATTTTTAGTATACGCAATAAGTAGATTTTACTCCTCCCCACGCCTCTCTGAAGGTTAACCCAAAGCACAGCCCCAACACCCGGGTCTTGGTGCCCGTCTGTTTATGTAGGGAGAGGGCAGTGTGATTTAGTTACTGCTGTATCTCACTGAACAACAGGTTCCCAAAGCAGGTGTGTGCAAGAACAAACTCTGGATAGTATATTCTAATTTATATGTACTAAGGAAGCTCACAATTTAGAGGGACTTTCTGGGTCTCTTGACTACTCTAGTCCTTCTTCCCCTGCTGCATTTCCAACAACATATTGTAATTATCTTTTCTCTGTTCTCCTTCCCCAACCATGAGCTCCTGAAAGACAAAGGACATACCGTATTTAACTTTATATTCCCAGTACCTAGAATAATGTTTGGCAGTAGTAGCTTTTGTTTATTGACTTACTGAACAAGTGAGAGGATGAGTGAATGGATGCATGGTTAATTCTAGGTTAAGTAAATAATCATCTCTAAATTTGGGGTCAATCTGGATTTTCACACTTTGGATTTTCTTCAAGCAAGATAGTTGATGAGTTTATTGGTGATCAGGGCCTGTATTATGTAACCCCTCCAATTATTGCCCATAATTCCTTGTTTGTTTTGTCAGTCAAATAATTTATTATCGTATGCCCAAAGTATTTAAAGGTCAGACTCAAATCGATTTTTAAAAAGTATGCCTCGTGTCCTTCTATATATATTATATTCTCTTCCAAGCAATGGTAGAGTAGATATATAAGATTTCAAAAATACACTTCAGAGTGTTAGCATTCATAATTACTGGGCTCATATGAAATCATTTAAGAAGAATTCTGGGGTTTCAAAAGGTGTCACGTTATTCAGTGATGCTGTGCTGGAGGGAATGGTAGACACCATCCAAAATAGATACTTCATTTGTGCAGATGAGAAGAAGTGAGGCCCCAAGAGGTGAATCGTTTGTTCAAGGTCACATCAGGAACTGAGTCAGGTCTCCCATATTCTCAGGCCAGTGGCTTTATGGACCCTGGGACCAGGATTCCTGAGTGACATTGATTCTGGAAGATGCAGGACTGGCCCTGTAAGTCCAAACCAGCCAAGACAAGGGCATGATTTCTGGAAGAACACATTGTAGTCGTTGATCTGGGCTAGCAGCCAATGGAAGAAGAGCCCTGTGGTCCACGTGAATGCTCTTGGGTATATACAGTCCATTCACATGACGTTTAACTTTGAAGGTGTCAGAGAAATGCCGATCTGCTGCTAAAGAGAGGCAACATCAGAGGGGGACCCACACGCATGCAAAGCCTTCACAATGTCCCTCTGCAATTTTTAAACACTTGAACTTTAAACTTTTAAACTTCAATAAATTATGTTGAAGGTTTGATAGAAACAAATTGTGATAAGCAATGGTTCCTTTTTTCTCCAGTGAATTTGTGTGTAGAGAAGAATAGGAGGTCATTTTCAACTATGCGATGTAATATTATACATGTTATTTGAACTAGTGTGACTTTTGCTCTTTTTTATTTCTGTGCCCAGATTCGAAGGATTCCAAGGAGAAGAATAAAATGGAGATCTTGTACATACTCGTGCCAAGTGTTGCCATTCCTCTGGCCATTGCCCTGCTCTTCTTCTTCATTTGTGTCTGCCGCAATAACCAGAAGACCTCGTCACCACCTGTCCAGAGGCAACCGAAACACGTCAGAGGTCAAAATGTGGAGATGTCAATGCTTAATGCATATAAACCCAAGGTAAAGTTAGCAGTACGGATCTGCATAGATTCCGCAGGCTTCGGGTTAAAGCAAAACTTAGCACCTTCCCCAGCTTAGAAATCAAATGATCTAGACTCAGAGTTTACAAGCTCTAGAGGTCAATTTCAGCAAACTGTACACCTGTAACTTTATCCAGGGCACCTGGAACATTCTTTCATCAGTGTGTCCACGTCCGTGTCAGGCCAGCCCCATCACTGCCTTGCCATCAAGTCTGGGCTAGAAAGAATCCTTAGGACATCATCTCTCCTAAGGATTCCGAGTGTGAGCTATTTTGCAAAATTTCAAAGAAGGAAAGACCATACCCTTCCAATCAAACCGAAAGAGATGAACAGAGAAAAAAAGAGAGCATGGTTTACTAACTTTTAACTGTCAAAAAATCCTTTATATTGCACAACAGCGTGCATAGATTGTACACTTAAGAACCAGTAAGTTTTATGTGATGTGCATTTTTGCCACAAGAACAAAACCTAAGTCCTAACCTAGGAGCTCAGTTAGGTTTAATGCCTAACCTAAATCCATTTCTCTTTGGTTTAAGCATATTTAAAGAGAAGTGTTGTCCCTCCTATAATCTTCGAATTCTGTTGTATGATCGCCCACCTTAGCCTTCTCATCTCTGTGCTAATTCAACCCACTTCCTTTTAGTTTTTCCTCCTCATCTTTCAACATGTGGGTTGCTCCAGGTCTTGGCAAGGAACCCAGGGTCACCGGCCCTTACCTTAAATGGAACACACACACCACATCTTGAAGCTGAAATACAACAGATCCTTTCTCTCCAGAAAGCCAGAACCTCAATCCCAGGCTCTCGGCAAAGAGATTTCATTTAAATAATTCAGAAGACATCCAAAAAGCCTGTCTTTTCTTCTTATTCCAACTCCATAGGACATTCATTCACTCATTCTGCAAATATTTATCTTCTCTGTGGGTTAGTGACCATATTGTTCATTTGACCTTCATAAAGAGAAGATGCATCTCTTTAATAAAATTTTAGAGAAAAATGTCTTCACACTCAAATTAACTAATCCTTTTAACTAATTAGTAGAGTTCCCTGTTGGGGCTGACTCTTAGCCCCTCATTTGATTCTAGTCTGCATTGCGGTTGGATTTTTTTTTTTTTTTTTAATTTAAAAAGTCTTAAGACATTTTTCTGTTGTAGTCATATTTGTTGGTAAGGTTTTTGGATTTCTTAAGTGTTAAAAATTCATTTTTTAAGTATTCTGTCCCAAGCAAAACCACAGTTCTCTTAAGTCTGAATTTTTACCATTAAAAAAAAAAACCCACAGACCCTGAAGACAACAGCGTTCACTAAGTAGGTTGGGGGACAAGTAGCAGTGGGGGTTCAGTTGTTTCTGACATCCTAGCTGCCAGCTAGCCAGCTTACGTCCATTACAGCATGTTAGAGAACATCACATCTAATCCTTACAAGGGAGTAGAAGAAAAAAGAGGGGTTAATGAGGTAACACCCTGTTGAACTTTTACATTTCCCAGGCTTCAGAGTTCTAGTGCAATGGTCTTTTTCCATGAGCATCTTTCTCCATTATTTCTGTTATTAAATGTTGAGAAACCTTAGAAATGCCAGAACTCTGGACAGGAGAGAGACCCAGATCATCTGGCTTACAGCAGTCACCTTGTCCCTGCCACCATCCCGGAGAGGCGGGCTCCTCCAGGCTGCGGCAGGAACCATGGGGAGAGTTCTTTCCATTTGGGAAAACTGTCAATTGTGTAGGTCAGCCTCAGTCTGCAACTCAATTCGATTATTAGCAGAGGTTTGTTTTGCAAAGCATGATGTCCAAGAGGCATGATGTTTTGGGTTTATGTAGTCTTTCCAATAAAGATCTCAGAGAGCTTTGTGGCATAAACGGAGAAAGCTAATGTGTGTTGAGGGATGCAGATTGCCAGGTACTATCCCAGGAGATTTTATACTCATCATCTCATTTAATCCTTGCAGATATTCTATAATATAGATGTGATTATTGCTACCACACAACCAGGATAACTGAGACTTCTACAGATTAAGTAATTTGTCCAAAATCAAAGAGCTAGAGATTGGAAGAGATGAAATGTGAACATAGGATTTTTCATGACTAAATAAAGTCCTTGCACTCGCCTGACCCCATAATAACTTTTTCACAGGACAAATCATGCTGGGAAGGGAGAGTGGGAGGGGGTCAGGCAAACAACTGAATATGATTCCATTTGGTTAGTTTGGGCTGAACACTAACCACAGGCATCACCCTGCCTTGTGATAAATCCTTAAGAGGCTTGTGTAACAGTCACACGTCTAAATGCTATAGCTCCAGTCCTGCCAAAGACATGTGAAATTTGGCCAGAGCAGTAATAGTCCTCTCTCCTCCATGGTCGTAGAGACAAATGTAAAATATCCTGGGACAAATTTTCCCAAAGACTTGGTGAAGTAAACATGGTTTTCATGATTTCTGAAGTGTCCCTTGCAAAATCTCCCAGTGCCAAGATTTCTCCAACCCAAGGCTTAAAATTCAGCCTTAAACAGCTCTCAAATAATTCTGAACCACACCGTAGGTCGGAATGACTCGAGTATCTTTGACAGGGTTGAGAAGGGGAAAAGAAACAACAAAAACAAATGCTCGCTCTTTTTCTCTTACTCTCTTAATAGATTTGGCTCCAATCAAATTTGAGTTATTCTGTTGTTTGTTTTGGTTCTTACTGAGTGCCTTTCCTGGAAAAAGCACAAAGGACTTCGTAGACCTTAAAGAAAATTCTTAACTGTAAACAATCACTCTCTAAAAGTGCTTTGGAAGGTCACTGACACATAAATATTACACGTACCTATAAAAGTTAGAAGGAAAGAACACACATAAGAAAGAAAGAGAAAAAAAAAAATCCTGAAAACAAACGCCCTACCAGCATAAAATCAAAAGGATATTTGGAGGCCGAGGTGTTAAAGAAGAAAGCATGGAAGCTGGTATGCCCGAGCCTTACTCTTATTTTGCCTTGGTCAATTCAAAAGTCAGAGGCTCCAGGATTTTTATTGATCCAAATGAATATGCCCTTCAGGTTTTAAATTGTTTCTCTTTCTCTCTACTTGCTGAGCTTCTAAAATCCCCTGCAAGTGTTGGGATTAAGAAGAGGCTCCTCAGGGAGATTAGAAACCCATACCCTTCAGAGGGGACAATAGCAGTCATGGACAGACTGGTGGACAGACCTGGCCTGGGTGTCCAGAGAGGTGAGTGAGGCAGTTGGAAGTTAGACCTCGATGAGGTTTGAGTTTCCTGCTGATCCGTGGGGAAAGGAAGTCAGTGGACCAGAGAGGCACCTCAGAGCTGAGCTACGAACAGTCAGGAAATGGAGATGCTCCTCTGGCTCTAACCGCAGCCCCCTACCCGTCCCCCTTGCCCCGTGGCCCTGAGAAGCCACCTGGCCTCTCTGAGTCTTACTTTTCTCAGTTGTTCAGAGAATGAAGTAGACCCTGTTCATATAAGGTACTGCTCATTTGTTTTCCTTTTATTTTGTTCAGCAGGAGATTTCAAGCCATTCAGTTGGATAAGATAACCTCCTCTCTTTCCCCCCTTTAAAATCCCCCGATGAGTATTCTAGCAATGCATGAATCAAGTAGGATTTTTCTATATTGCATTACAAATGTTATGATCCGGGTGGGTGTTATTTAAGAGTACTGTGGAAAGTGAACCTTCTCCAAGAAGCCTGGGAAACCCTAACTTCCCTTCTCCTGGATTCTTTTCCTTTGCCCTCCGTGCCCCCAGTTGTCCTGTGTCTGAAAAACAGGGCAATGTCTGTACAGAGAACAGGCTGTGGAGCACTCTCCTTGGGAGGGAGAAGGTGTCAGAGCCTCCCACTCAAGCACAGCAGAGCGGTGGGGGCTTCTGTCCTTCCCTCTGTGACTCACCTGTGTGGGATGTGGGCGCCAGAGAAGTTAAGAGGTGGAGGAGCTTGAGAATGGGGAACAAAGAACAGTTGGGGGGCTGGGGGGGGCACAGCCAAAGCCTGAATAGGCCTGTGGGTCAGACTCCTGCAGCTCTGGGCTGGTATAAGGAACATCTGGGGGAAAGCAGGATTTGCCTCGCATTCTGAAGCTGGTGACTCTATTTTATTTCTCAATTTACCCTCATCTCTTGCCAACTTCTCTTTCTTTGCTTCCAGGCAGTTCCACTCCCCTTTTCCTTTCCAGCCAAAGTAGTTGCTGAAGGTACTGACACTTGATTATCTTCTCTGGGCCTGTCCCCTTTGCCAGCAACATGCTTCCATCTAAAAAGCCCTGCTGTGGTCTGGCTACCCCTTTTCAACCCCTGGCCTTACCCAGTGTCACCACACTTGGTGTTAAAATGTCCTCAATAGCTTTTCTACTCAGTCCTTAAAGCCTTTGTCTCCCCAGACTTCTGAGCTCATCATTCTATTGACAGGGCCCTCTAGGGAATCACCAGTGATGTAATTCAATCCAATGGCCTTTTCCAAGACTTTATCCTCTTTAATTTCCCTGGAGCCTTGGATATTCTGAACCACCATCTTGAAATACTTTTTCTCTTGGCTTTCCTCCTATCTCCTCTGTTTCCTTCACTAGTTCCTTCGGTTCCTCTTTTCCTCTCTCCCTCCTCCCCCTCTTCTCTCTTTCTCTCCCCCTCCTCCCCCTCTTCTCTCTCTCCCTCTCTCTCAAGCTGATTTCATCCTCTGGCATTGCTTTTGCTCCCACTTGATATACATTCCCCAATCTGGAAGGACCAATGTCAAGTTATAAAATTCTTCCTCCCTGCGCCTAAGGATCCATACTCTTTGGGCCTAGCTTACCTTACCAGCCACATTTTTTTCTTAGTCGATTTCTGGGAGGTAGTTTGATATACTTCAAAGGGCAAGGACTGTAAGGAGAGAGAGATGATTAACAAATCTCAGCGCCATTGATTCCCGGCCATGAGGTTTAAGCAAATTCTCTGACCCTTTGTTTTCTCCCCTGTAAAACAAGGACAGGAATAGTACTTAGAGATTTTTTTTTTCTTA